GGTGGAAGGGCCAAGTACAGCACACTTTTTATTCATATGGTAAGGTGAGGCTTAAGAGGGCGAGCCTTTGTTATGGAGAGGTACGGTTTGTGACTCAACCTGTGACAAGGAGAAAACAACTGAACATGGTAAACCTGTAGTAGTTGTCTCAAATAAGATTGGCCAAATAAGTGTAGTTAATTTTTTTTTTCGTCCACCCCTCCTTCGAGGCAGTGAAGAGACACCTGCAGCGGCTTCACGACGCGTGCCGATGGTTTGGTGTTCGTGGCCGCACCGCTCGCAGGCCGTCGAATCGTTGATGGCCCCATTCGTGGCACGCGGTTGGGCCCCAGCGGCCACGCGCGGCCCGCTCCTGATTCGCGTCGACGGTGAAACCCGTTGGCAGCGTGGGAGGTTGGAAACCGGCGAGGTTCGACAGAGGCAAATAAACAAACAAACAATCAATAAACGTCGCCTCGACGCTTACAGAACGCCAAGTACCTGGCGGAGCGCGGTGGAATTGTTTTTCACGACTGGCAACAACAACACCGCAACATAAACACAAGAAGAATAATTAAACAATTTAATCAATGACTTGACACTTTCAACCGGCGTAATTAGCGTTTGGAATATGAGAGTACCCCATGTACTCGTCACGCTACCCCCCAGCTAGCACGCGCGCCGCCTGTCACGGGCATCCGTCACGAGGGGGATGTTGTCTGTGTGTGTCTCTTTCCACCATCACCACGAGGGGAATGTTGTCTGTGTGTGTGTCTCCACCATCACCACGAGGGAATGTTGTCTGTGTGTGTGTCTCCACCATCATCACGAGGGGAATGTTGTCTTGTGTGTGTCTCTCCACCATCACCACGAGGGGAATGTTGTCTGTGTGTGTGTCTCCACCATCACCACGAGGGAATGTTGTCTGTGTGTGTGTCTCCACCATCACCACGAGGGAATGTTGTTGTCTCCACCATCACCACGAGGGATGGTGTTCTGTGTGTGTCTCCACCATCATCACGAGGGGAATGTTGTCTGTGTGTGTCTCTCTCCACCATCACCACGAGGGGAATGTTGTCTGTGTGTGTCTCTCTCCACCATCACCACGAGGGGGATGTTGTCTGTGTGTGTCTCTCTCCACCATCACCACGAGGGGAATGTTGTCTGTGTGTGTGTCTCCACCATCACCACGAGGGAATGTTGTCTGTGTGTGTGTCTCCACCATCATCACGAGGGGAATGTTGTCTGTGTGTGTCTCTCTCCACCATCACCACGAGGGGAATGTTGTCTGTGTGTGTCTCTCTCCACCATCACCACGAGGGGAATGTTGTCTGTGTGTGTCTCTCTCCACCATCACCACGAGGGGGATGTTGTCTGTGTGTGTCTCTCTCCACAATCACCACGAGGGGAATGTTGTCTGTGTGTGTGTCTCCACCATCACCACGAGGGAATGTTGTCTGTGTGTGTGTCTCCACCATCATCACGAGGAGAATGTTGTCTGTGTGTGTCTCTCTCCACCATCACCACGAGGGGAATGTTGTCTGTGTGTGTCTCTCTCCACCATCACCACGAGGGGAATGTTGTCTGTGTGTGTCTCTCTCCACCATCACCACGAGGGGAATGTTGTCTGTGTATGTCTCTCTCCACCATCACCACGAGGGGAATGTTGTCTGTGTGTGTCTCTCTCCACCATCACCACGAGGGGAATGTTGTCTGTGTATGTCTCTCTCCACCATCACCACGAGGGGAATGTTGTCTGTGTGTGTCTCTCCACCATCACCACGAGGGAATGTTGTCTGTGTGTGTGTCTCCACCATCATCACGAGGGGAATGTTGTCTGTGTGTGTGTCTCCACCATCATCACGAGGGGAATGTTGTCTGTGTGTGTCTCTCTCCACCATCACCACGAGGGGATGTTGTCTGTGTGTGTCTCTCTTCACCATCACGAGGGGAATGTTGTCTGTGTGTGTGTCTCCACCATCATCACGAGGGGAATGTTGTCTGTGTGTGTCTCTCTCCACCATCACCACGAGGGGATGTTGTCTGTGTGTGTCTCTCTTCACCATCACGAGGGGAATGTTGTCTGTGTGTATCTCTCTCCACCATCACCACGAGGGGGATGTTGTCTGTGTGTGTCTCTCTCCACCATCACCATGAGGGGGATGTTGTCTGTGTGTGTCTCTCTTCACCATCACGAGGGGAATGTTGTCTGTGTGTCTCTCTCTCCACCATCACCACGAGGGGGATGTTGTCTGTGTGTGTCTCTCTCCACCATCACCACGAGGGGAATGTTTTCTGTGTTGGGGTTCGCAATCTTCTTTTCGGCAGAGGGAATACATCGACAATGTGGATAATTGAATGGGAAAAGTTCATAATAATAATCAGAATTGCGGAGCTCAATGCGTCATGTAAATAACGCATTCAAGTAATGTGCGGAATATTATATGCTGCATAACATGTAGTAGATATATAAAACACTAGCTGCCACAAAGTTTTGGAACCACCTAGTTTCGTTTCTTGGCGTATCCATGTTGCCATTCTGTGCTCTTTTAAACTGACTATTAAAATAACTCAAGTTTGAGTGTGAATACAACATCATTGCTCTTCCGTTTTTGTTGTTGCTAAATCTGTAATTGTGGAAGGCTTCAATATTAACTAAAAATAAACTTCCTAGCTCAACTTTTCACTCGATAAATCATTTATCTGCGCCATCTGCGTTCAGTAATTAAGCCTCCCACGTTGAGACTACAAGAACACACGCACGGACATTTACTGAAAGTAAACATTCTTCACGCTGTCAAACTCAGGACCGCACTCTCCCATTGTCACTGAGTGGCGATTTGAGCGTGAACATTGGGTGGTGCTCATCTATTTTAAATACGCACTACAATGACAATAGTTTAAAGCGATTTGAAGCATGTTTAATTTTTTTCGGGGGGGGGGGGGGGGCAGAGCTTTGTGACGTCGACGAAGGGGGGGGGGGGGTGTCAATAATCGTCCAAAATCGCGTGACGCCATTTATGGACGGCCCCTAAATGGGTACGGCCACCACCAGTTAGAGTCGACTGGCAGATCACATGGGGTGGGGTGAAGTGTGGATTCTCTCCCACGTAGAGAGGCTGTATGTGGAGGTCTCCCTCGGCAGGGGGTCCCTTCCGTGAGCATTGGGATGAGCGAGAATCTGCAGGTTGCACCCTTGCCTTTTCCGTGAAGGTGACCAGATCGCTCAGTGGCATCATAATGGCTGTGACAGGAGCATTGGAGCCTGCTACAAAGAGTTTGAATCTGGGATTTGGGCCCCCCGAGTTTAAACTGGGCCATGTGTGACCAGGTTGAGACCACCTTCGACTCCCTGGAGAGGTCGATGGCCCACTATGGAAATTGGAAGGGTAAGGTCAGCTCCTGTTCAACAATGAGATGAATTTGTGGTGTCGCAAGATTGTGACGGTGCAGAGTGACCTTCATCCAGCAGTGGATAGATGACAGCTGATCATGATGTTGATAACGGTCATGAAAGGAGACCGACGGTACAGATTGAAATTGCGGGTGATCTCCTTTTAATTTAGTGCGCCGTGCATGTATCTTACAACGTACACGAACTGTCCCACACATTTAGCCAAAAATCCATTTACGTGTAAATTATAACTCGCAGCACAAGTAAATAATTGAGTAGACAATTGAATAAATGAACAATTGTGGCTAATAAAAACACACTCGTCCAAGATAAGGATGTAAATTTGCCACCAACAATAAGGGATATGTTGTCAGAGTAAAACACAATTACGCCGATCAATTGATTTGGTTCACCCTTCTTAACAGAGTGAGGACCATTTCAGAATCGTTATATCTTTAGCGACGCAAACCCGTGTTAACGTAAGCAAAGCTATGACCAGCCCTTCTGGATGAGGAGGGTCTAGTGCACATACGACGCAGAGCCCTTTTTTTTTTGCTCGATCCACTGCTGGATGAGGGCCTCCCCACGCCGTGCGTTGGCTCGTAGCGGGTGCTTGACCATACTTCACCATGCTGGTGGTTGGCGTGAGTTGGTGGTGAAGGCGGGGTGCGTAGAAGTAGAGTACAACATCGAATATCGCTGCACTGCTCACCAACACTGGTCAACAAAAAATGTACATTTTTTTTCTGGTCTGGACTTTTGCAGCTGTTTTAGACTAATTTCAGGGTGCTGATTCCAAATCTGATCTCAGATTTGCTCTATCACATCTCATTTTTATGCTATCGGCATACCCCATTTTCATTGATCTTACCCGAAATTAACTCTGGTCACTTATGATTGCAAGTTGTTGCGAGTCAGTGACTGCTTTAGTGGTTAAAATATGGTGCTGTATTTTTAGGATAGTGTGTTTATAATATAATTTTATGTAGATATCCACATTTATTGAATATTTTTCTTCTGCAGTTTTTATTGAAAATGCAATATTTGATATCTCAAAAATCGAATGTGATAGACAAAAACTGATGCCAGATTTGGAATCAGCACCCCAAAATTACATTAAAACAGTTGGAATACCTTATGCCAGGCAAAGTGTGTTGACCAGTGCAATTCTTATTTGATTTTATTCAGCGAATTCTATTTCACGCGACTTCCCACTGTCAAAACACCGGATACATTTACGATATATATAGATAAATAAATGTTCTCTGAGTGCACGTCAGCCCCCGCACAGCCACAGAGCCACTTTGCAGGCTTCTCCTCCTCCTCGAGCACGTGCTGGGCAAACCTGTCCACCCGGCACGGCCTAGCACACTTCACAGCCGAAGTCCACTAGCGCCACGGGTCTACTGCTCCACGAATTCACACGTTTGGCTGTCGCGTACCACGGCCCCTAATCCATGTTCGGAAGCGGCAACAACAACTCCCTGTGGTCGCACAGGAAGCGGTTTAACTGCCCAATTGGCGCCTTGCGAGGTCGAAACCAGGAATCTGCACGGATGGATCGCTTAAGAGGTCCTCGCTCGGCACGTCTACGGCTCTCCATTCGTCGCTCCAGGCAGTACGGGTATCACGCGGACTCCACACTGTTCGCACTGGGGTATTGCCCACACTTCAGGCGCACGTGGTGGTGGCGGCTTGAAAACGTCGACATGAAGGGCGCTGCCATCGTAGCAGCAGCAGCGCTGTTGACGACCTGTCGAGATTGACGGTCATCTCGTCGAAGCGATGGGTAGACTCGACCCTCTGTGTGGCTAAACCGACATCCCAAGCAGATGTGGAACTATATTTCGATTTAAAGCTTTCGTGACTGCAGGGATTCATCTTCTTAGGTTCTTTTGGTAAAGGCACGTAGAAGGAAAGTAATAAAATAATAAAAATAAAACGTAATAAAATAATTCTCACGACGTTTCGGCCACAACGCAAGCAGCCGTCCTCATGTGAAGAATTAAACACCACCAAGCTTGGAGCGTATATTTAAGCTGGGTTGGAGGGGAAAGAGCGCCTTGACGAAAGAATTTGCATATCAAGAGGAATTTAGCATATTTATGGGAAATGCAGATATGGGATTAGTCATTACTTTGTGGAATGCGTAGGAGGTGGGCAGGGGGGTTTAAAAGTCATACTATGCCCGTGCATTACGCACGATTAGCAGCATCAAAGATGTGGAAGGTTGCGAGAATATTTTTTGTTCATCGCCGTCGTCATCAGCATTGCACGATGTAATCACACGTGTAAACACACAAACAATTGTGCCGCAACGTGTTTACAAGTACAACTTTCATTTCCCGCAAATGTCATTTGTTTATTAAAGTAGCGAGTACGGAATTAAACAAGTTTGTTTGGCGGTTGGAGATAAACCCACCAAACATGCAACGTTGGGCCATCTCTGGTATACGGTTGGAACCGTTGAACCGACGTTGGCCCGACGTTAAAGCGACATTGGCCCGACCTTTTCCATTCATTTTACTACGATCACGGATCCTCTAAAACTACCCATTGGGTATGAGCATTGCGTGGATAAATCACCGAGAGCAGACACATGGGGACATTTATCGACACGTAACGGATCCACACACACGGCGGATAAGGCGGGAAGACATCTGTCACAGCGACGTATGCATGCAGGTACATCAAACTTCTTTCGCACCGTACGTAGCCAACCGAGCTCATTGGAGGTGCAGCTGCGGAGGCGGCGGGCAGGATGGGGAAGGGCACACTCCGCTCCTCCTGGCTCAGAACCTCCAGCTCGACCACCTCCACACGCCGGCAGACGTAAGAAGAGGAGGCAGTCGACCACTGAGATTAAAAACAACAATCGATTACAAAAAAGAAATGCCGGCCGCGAGCGAGCAATAGAGCGGGTGGGGGAGATAAAGGCAGCTGGCTGTGTGGCAGAGGCTCGCAGAGGCTCACAGAGGCGCTCGGCTTTCGCGCAGGAAAGGTCAACGACGCGGGGACACCATTTAGAAATGTTAATGAGATTATCCGGGAGGATTTAAGCAAACAGGGCGATATTAATGCATTTATTCAGATCGCCAAATTAAGTCGTCTCTCGTCTCCATCGCGGATGTTGCCTGGCAGCCAGAGGGCGCGTGAGCGCAAGAGTGCAGGTGTGTGTCTGTGTGTGTCTGTGTGTGTCTGTGTGTGTGTCTGTGTGTCTGTGTGTGTGTCTGTGCGTGTGTATGTGCGTGTGTCTGTGTTTTTCTGTTTATGTGTCTGTGTGTGTCTGTGTGTCTGTGTGTGTGTCTGTGTGTGTGTCTGTGTGTGTCTGCGTGTTTGTCTGTGTGTTTGTCTGTGTATGTGTCTGTGTGTGTGTGTCTGTGTGTATCTGTAGGTCAGTCTACCCGTGGCACCTGGGTCTGCCCTGTGACCTGCCAGCGGGCGTTCGACACTTCACGTGGCCTTAAGGTGCACTTAGCCTGGCACAAGCGTCGTGGTGACGTCACCGCCACTTAGTGGCGAATGGCGGTTGTTGTGTGTATCTGTGTGTGTGTGTCTCAGTGTGTGTGTGTCTCAGTGTGTGTGTGTCTCAGTGTGTGTGTCTGTGTGTGTGTCTGTGTATGTGTCTATGTGTATCTGTGTGTGTATCTCAGTGTGTGTGTGTCTGTGTGTGGTTTAGTAGTAATTTATTGAAGGTGGAGGGGTTACCAGCCCTTCGCACCCGTCCAGAGCCCCCATTTAGCCGCTGTGGTCACAGACCATCAGCCCCACCAAAACTAAGCACCTGCCTGGGTATTTTGTACCATCGGACACTCCACCCCCACAACTCCCAATCGGTGATGGGGCAGTTGTGGAGAGAGTGGAGAGTTTCCCATAACTGGGCAGTGTGCTCATGACCGGCTCCGGTTTAACAGCAGAGATCTCACTCCGAATCAGTCGAGCGGCATTGTCTTTTCATCGGTTGCGTAACGCTGTGTCGAAGCTACCTGGTCTGTCGCTCCGCACGAAGCTTCAGGTCTTCTCGGCCACGGTCATTCCCTCCCTTCTCTATGCTTGCGAAACGTGGACCCCCCTAATGGAGCATCTTCGCTCGTTAGAAGCATTTAGGCTAGCCTGCCTACGAGTCATCCTGTATTGTGTGAGGAGCACACAAATCCTTGAAAGATCTGGACAAAGTTCCATCGGTGAGTTCCTCCGGCAGGCAAGGCTCCGTTGGCTGGGCAATGTAGCTCGCATGCCCAGCCACCGCATGCCTAAACAGCGAAACGGGCGCGGCACGGGCTAGAGAAGAGATGGAGTGATGTGGTACAGGAGGATGTGGAGCTGAGTGGACTTGCCGATGACTAGTACCAGCGTTGTCAAGATCGGCCTCTGTGGAGGAGGCTCGTGAAGGACGCTACTGGGCAGTTGGAGGCAGTCGCCCTCCAACAACAACGGAGGGTGGAGGAGCGAAGCTCACAACAACGAGCAGAGCGCCGGGTGTAAAGCATAGCAAGTTGGTACAGTAGGGCGCACAGGTGGTGCATCAGCCAGTCGTCTCAGTCGATCCGTGGTATCTGGGTCTGCCCCGTGACCTGCCAGCGGGCGTTCGACGCTTCACGTGGCCTCAAGGTGCACATAGCCTGGCACAAGCGTCGTGGTGAGGTCACCGCCACTTAGTGCGAATGGCGGTTATTGTTGTTGCTTGTAGCTGTGTTTCTCAGTGTGTGTGTGTGTTTGTGTGCCTGTAGCTGTGTGTCTCAGTGTGTGTGTGTGTCTGTAGCTGTCACAGTGTGTGTGTGTGTAGCTGTGTCTCAGTGTGTGTGTGTATAGCTGTGTCTCAGTGTGTGTGTGTCACAAAGTGGGGAGCGGTGGCGTAGCGGTTAGCACGCTGCGCAACGAACCTGGCGACCCGAGTTCGATTCCCGCTCACGGCGATCGCCCGTGACGATTATTTGTACCGGTCCTGGGCCTGCCTCACATGAGTATCTGGTGCGGTATGTAAACATCGCCACTGGGGAGACAAAGGCGGCCGAGCGTGGTGCCGTGCCGGCCATCAAAGGTGCTCGCTAACAGCACTTGCCCCAACAGTCTGTGAAGGCTATACAGGGGATATTTGTCCTTGTTTTAAAGATACGCTCGCTCACTCACCCACTCATTGACACACTCACTGACTACCTCACTGACTACCTCACTCACTCACCTACCCATTCACCGACACTTACGCAATCACGCGACACCCCCCTCAACTCCAGCTCGCCACACTCTGCAGGTCACACAACGCTTCTCTCCGTTTGCCTCCTTTCCTCTCGCTCTGCTCCACTTTGGAATCCCCTCCAATCGTCGTATCTTCCCCTACCCCCTCGTTTCTTACAAACCGAATAAAAGAAACCGATGTACTCTTAACCATCGCAACTTTTTTTTGGGGGGGGAGGGGCTATGGGGGGCACTTTGGGCTTGCGCTCAGCAACACGTGATTTAAAATAAAATCTTGACGAGTTTGGAAGCCTCTTGCTGGCCGATTTGGCCATCGGCCGGATAACCCAGGGGTCATGGACCCGTTATAGCCACTTGCGGCTCCTAGTGACCGTTTGTGCGCCCCCACCCCCTGAATGTGAAAACACCCCCCCCCATCAACCACCAACGGTTTCAAACGTGTGGCAGCCCTCGCACACCGATGATGTCTCGTCGGCGACAGTGGACCCCCCCCCCAGCCCCTTCTAAAATCTCGTGAAAACCCCACTGCGTTGTAGAGATTGCGGGATGTGGCACGTGGGACGAGAGGTCATGGGTCACCGAGGACCCACGTTTTACCCCACGTGACTGTAAAACGAGGAGTTTTTGGAGGTTCTTTTGGCACCCGTGGGTCTCGGCCCAGTGATCGACCGGCGCGCGAGTGCTCTCGCGTGTCCCTGTCCGTCATCATTGTGACGTGACGCCGCTAATATCTTTAAGTGCCTCCGAACAGGCGAGCGGAGGCGGTCTATTCCCACGCAGCAGCGTCTGCACAGACACAGCAGCAGCAGCAACAGCGAGAGAGCGAGAGGGAGGGTGAGAGAGAGAGAATGCGAATACATAAACAAAAAATCCATAATACAGGTTGGTTTTTGTGTTAGATCGTGTAAATATATAAATGTGTCGTTAAAACCCGCCACCACCCCACGCAGCCAACTAGTAAGGGTTGTCACGTAAACAGAGCGTGGCCAATTCGTCACTAGTACAGCACTAACCGGTGTGTTGGAGAGCCAAGCTACAACATTCACAATCTGAGTACGACGTTTCGTCAGTAATTATAACTAGCTTCATCAGGCGACAACCAGATTTGTGGGGAAAATCCTCCTGCTTCGTTCCTTAAATAGAGGGGTAGGCGTGATGACGTCGTCTGCGATTACCACACCAGTCTGAGCTGGTAGAACGTAAGCTTACTACGCCACCACCAACAACCCTCCGGATATGACAGCGGGATTCCTCGACTGGCTTCAGACGAACGTCGCTCAACGTTCGTTTCAGGAATCGGACGCGCCGACTGGGACCACGGCGAGTCCACGTGTTTTTGTTTTGCTTCACCGCGTTCGTCAAACAAAGCGTGAACCGCGCCGCGAAGCTTTCATGCGCGTGATTCGTCGAGGGATGTCTTTAATAGTTCACCGTTAATCGTTACGGCTTGCGAGCGAGCGAGCGAGCTTCCATTAGGGGCAGAAGAGTTTGGACTGAAACGTCGCCTCGCTAGCTGGGGGGGGGGGGGGGTGATGTGAACCCTTTGCGTTACGCGCCTACCGCGCTCTTACGTGAGGAATGCGGCGAGATGGAGGATCGATTTTCTCTTTTTTATCTTATCGGGAGGCTTGACACAGAACGCGTGGTTCGGTGCCACGAACGCGATCCAAACGCATGACATGGGCGAGAAGTGCTCCCCTTAAACGAAAACAGCGGAGTGAACACACCTGCACAAATGAGCCATTTTATTCTCGGTATTATTATTATTACCATATAAAAACGCCAAATGGAATGCGTTGATGCATAAACACACGGATGCACTGCGTACGGAGCAGTGGCTCAACGGTTAGCGCGCTGCGCTACGAACCCGGCGACACGAGTTTGATTCCCGCTCAGAGCCAACATCGGTGGCGATTATCTGAACCGATCCTGGGCCTCCCCTAGGTCTACTCAGCCTCAAACGAGTACCTGGTGTGGTGTGTAAAACATCGCCAATGGAGATGGTGCTGGCCACCCATCCTCTCTTGTACCGTGCCGGCCTTCATTATGTGCTTACTAACAGCACTTGCCCCAACAGTCTGTTAAGGCTATACTTGGGGAGATAAACACACGTAAGTCTGGCACAGCCACAAACATCTGGCCACGTGATCCCCAGAGGGCAGCCCATCGTACAGGGCAGAGACCAGTCCCCCATTGCGCGCACACACAACTCACCCGACACACGACTCACCTCACCAGATCACAATCGCGACCACACCTGCAGTGACTCACCGCTCACCTGCGACCCACGACTCGCAGCCGCAGCTAAGGCCAGCGGTGACAGAGTCACGCGGTGAGACTTGCGGGGTGGTAAGTGAGACGGTCACGTGGTCTCGTCGCTCCATCTCCGCAGTGGGTCGCTCTCCCTCGCTGTGACTGCACGTCCCGTCGCCAGGACTCGGATCATCCCGTTCCTTCTAGCGACGCGTCCGGCACAAGGAACTCATCTTACTTTTTGATCGAATCTTAATCCCCCCCCCCTCCCCATGCCTCCGCCTCTGTCGACCTATCAACACAAGCGGGTCCACCACAGTCGCATGCCATCGACCGGTCACGTGTGGTCGCGTTAACATGTGGCGGCGTCCACGTTGTTTCAAGACATCTCGCAAACGTGGAAGAGTAGGAGTGATAAGTAACCCTCTCGAACGGTTCTTGACACTTCCCTACTCATCCTACCGAGTGCGCATTGTGGCAATTCTCAACATCCTCCATTCGAATGTCAAAATGACACTTTAAAAAAAAAATCACGCAAAAATCTACCAGCGATATCTTCAGGGTTAACACTCACGTGGCGGAACGTTCGATTTGTTAATCCACGTCTCGAGTCTGTCGAGAGAGCCAAAGTTTCCCCTTGCCTATTTACAAAATGTGTGCAACATCCAAAACAAGGCTCGTGGCATTTACACTTAAACGATCCATACGATTTGCTTATTTTAGTTCATTCGGCGCCGTATGTGCTACGTGATGAACCCACTGGGCTGAGAACAGCAGCACGGATTTGTTCACCGGCTGCCCAGGAAGAGTCTGCCAAGTGGGGTCCGCTCAGCTGTGACAATCGCTGTTCGCTTTAATTCACTTTCATTTACTCAGTGTCCATCTCCACTTCCGTCTCTCATCTTTGTTGTTGTTGTTGCTGTTGCCGAATACGAGCGCACGTTGCTCACGGGGAGAAACATGCAAAACCCCAACGATACAGCAGGCGTCGTGGGTCAGGATCGAAGCCGACGGCCTCCTGCGTACCCGGCGAGGCAGTTAACATCTTAGAGCCACCGTGGCTCTCGGCTCGCCACCGTGTGGTAGGGGATCACAGTTATCCGAGAACACCCAAGCAGGCGACGGCGCAACACTCTATCCCGTTACAGACGTAGCAGTTGGGTGTTTACCGATGTGTTGTGCGCCGTTTCCTGCCCGGACAGGGTATACGGCACCTCCTCGACGCTTATGGGGTAAGTGCGGAGTATCCCCTGCACTCGTGGGCTCCACCAGCCACCTCGCTGCCTGCACAGTGCAGGATCTGGCGCTCGAGTGCCCGGCAAGACGAAGACCTGGGGGGGAGGGGGGGGTTCACGGCCAAATCGTTCGTTGGCCTCACCCCCCTCCCGCACACCCAAAACAACTCAACCATCAATGGGGGTACAGCGCCTTTAGGTTCGAGAAGTCGGCATCGTGACACGTGACTCTCCGGCAATGTCGGCGCCGCTTTGGCGTCGTCATTTAGGAATCTCTGAGCGACTGGCCACGAGATCGCGACGAGTGGAGGCGTTTGGGCTCTCGTCCGACGTGCCCAGGGTCACGGAGCAAGTCACCCGCATGACAACTTTCCCCTCGAGATGCCAACGCGGCCAGATTAGTGGGTCAAACACACACACACCCACACACTGTTGAGTGTCCGCTACTCTCAGACGCGGTGACTCACGCGCAGACGTTAAACAAATTCATGGCAATGCAGCTCATTAGCGCGCTCAGTTCATCGGCGCAAACTTAGGCACTTAATTGCATTCATTGGTGACTTCCGTGGCCAGCCCACGCATTCTCGCCACGGCAGCGTGGGTAGCAGAGAGTGAAAGCGATAGAATTGGATTCTGCTCGAGTGATTTAAAAACCTCCTCCTGTAGACGAACGCTTAAACTTTAAAAAGAGGGGGGGGGGGGGGGGGTGCGGAAAGCGCAAATAGAGCTCCTTAGCCTCGTTTGAAGCCGCTCTGGTTTCAAGGAGCATCGGTCGTTCAATCGGTGGCGGAGCGTTATACCATGATGGGTGCTTCTCCAAGTGTCTCCACCGCCGCCTCGCCGGAGACGTTTGTCTGCCCCTCTCCCCATGAGCCGCACCAGGAAACCTCGCGGCGCGATGCAAACCACACGGACTCACCATCACGCAAAGCTACGCTCACCTGGTCCATGTGGATGTGCTGTGTTGTGGGCGGACTACGCTAGGCTGAGAACAGCAGAACGAAGTTGTTCATCTGTAGCACCCCCCCCCTCTCTTCTTGGTTCTTTCGGTAAAGTCACGTAGAATGGAAATAATAAAATAATAAAAATAAAACATAATAAAATAATTATCACGACGTTTCGGGCCACAACACAAGCAGCCATCCTCAGGTGGAGAGCAGGTCTGTCGAGTAGACAGAATTATTTATTATGTTTTATTTTTATTATTTTATTTCCATTCTACGTGACTTTACCGAAAGAAACAAGAAGATGAATCCCTGCAGTCACGAAAACTTTAAATCGAACCCCCCCCCCTATCAATCTGTCATCCCCCCCCACTTCTGTAGCCCCCACGCCTCCCGGTCTGGGCGAGTCTCTGCCGACTCAAGTCCGTTCAGCCGTGACGCTCGGTGCGTTCGAGATCAGACGGAACCATTTTTAGATCCTTTATATTAAGTTTGCTTGCTTGCTTACGACAGTGCAAATCTTTCGGTCGTTTTTTAACCCACTTCCCGTGATCCAATCGAGCTGACATTTTCCACACAGACTCGTTGTGCGTGACAATTAATGTTCGTGAAAAAAACATTCCAAAATGTTACTTTTTAGGACAAAAATATTATATTTAATTACCAATTGCTTAATGGTGCAATGACATAATCTGACCCATAGGTGGCAGCCATATCAAGCCAGAGGATGAGAGGACTCGAGCCGCCACGCATATAAAGGATTTATAGTGAAAAACTTTGTTTTTACGGGTTATACTTGTTAATTGTTCTCTTCCGTTTCGTGCAATTTTTGCGTTTCCCTCCGTGCCACCCGCGCTATTCTCTCGGCTCTTTCTGTTTTTCTTGCTGAATACGGAGCGCGTTACAAATCTTGCATCGATTAATTGCCACTTTTGTTGTTATTATTATTATTGCCGCGCTTGTTTACGCCGCCGAGTCTCACCGACAAGAAACATTCAGGGAGTGTGATTTTATGATTTCAATTAAAATTTGTACGTTTACAGATCGTGGCGGGGATTTTTTTTGTTGACATCGATTTGATGACATTTGGCGTGCGATTCACCCGCTCGCAGACAAAGCAATTGCACGGGTAAAAATCATTTCCAAATGAATGGCTCGGAGTTACTCAGCACGAGACAAGCAAATATACTGGTAGGAACCTCCTGGTTACACCAGCCCACAGGGGATTATTGTGTCCGTCGTGCAGGGAGAGGCTGGGTGGGGAGGGGAGGGTGGGGCTGGGTGGGGAGGGTGGGGCTGGGTGGGGTGGGGCTGGTTGGGGAGGGGCTGGGTTGGGAGGGTGGAGAGGGGCTGGGTGGGGAGGGGAGGGTTGGGGAGGGGCTGGGTGTGTAGGGGCTGGGTTGGGAGGGTGGGGAGGGGCTGGGTGGGGCTGGGTGGGGGGTGGGAGGGGTGGGGCTGGGTAGGGGAGGGGCTGGTCACTCCGTGGTGCCCTTATAAAACTCAACATTTAACCTACTCACGCCGGCTTGTGCCCGCCCTCACAGTCGGGCATATTTGCGGAATACACCACGCCGCCATTGACCCTGGCCATTGACCGAGCAGCCCAACGTTCCTACCAGCTCCCTCCGCAGGAATTTGTTTAAAAGCCTCTAGCTTCACTGCCCAGAGAGAGAGAGAGATCTCACAACCCGAGCAGAATTAAGCTTTGTCACCATTTGGATGGGTGACCGCGCGGATATTAGCGTCAGCTGCTCGCCTAAGTAGGCGTCGTGTGTTTGGTTTCAGTTGTGGCCAAGGCTCCTCTGACCATCTCCAAATCATCATCCCCCCACGAGCTTAGCAGACAACCAGGGGCTGTACCATCAGCTGGGATTTGGAACATAGCAGCAGCAGTGTTATCACGGTCACACTCATCATTGTCACCATGGTCACACACTTGCCAGTGTCATCATCAATGCTATCGTCAGTATCATCAGCCATACTTGATGTGAACATAGGGAAAAGCAAGTTTCACACACACACACACACACACTCTCAGAGCTTGGCGTATAATATATATGTCTAATACTATTATAAATCAATATATACCTCGAGTTTCCTGGCTGGCAGCTGGCTGGGCTACTCTCGATCCCAACAGTAACGCTGTCATTGTTAGTGGCTGCTGCGGGCTTTTTCCACCGACAAAAGACGTAAGTATGGACAAATAATTAGTTAACGAATCCTCTTCATCCCCTGTGGGACGTAAGGCCACACACGAGTTCCCTCCGCTTCTCCCTGTCCTTGGCAACACGTTGAGCCTCGTCCAAAGAGAGGTCGATCGCTGCCACCACCAGCTCGGCCTTCACGGCACTGCGCCAGGATGGTCTCGGGTCTCCCGGGTTTTCCTTTTGCCCGGTGGTGTCCATCCTAGTGACATCTTTTGTCTACGGTCCAGGTCCATGCTGAGGACATGTCCGAGCCATCTGAGTCGCCGTCTCTTGATGTCCTGTGTGATAAATACAGACGAATGTCAAGGATGCGTTAAAATCGCTCCAACTTTTCAATTTGTGCTACAATTGATTATCTTTTTTGCCAGAATATATATTTTAATCTTAGAGAATATAACACTAAACCCCTGCCCCTTAACAATGCATATTATATTGGCATTTTATTAGTTTGAAAAGCACAATACTTTTAGAGCTCCCAGACCTGAAATGAGAGTCTATTATGTTCCATTGCAGAGCAACGCAGTTTTCTACGAGAAGCATTAAAACAAAAATGATTATTCTTTACGCACATTGATGTGTCCTTTTAATTAACGAGTTCAGTTTTCCAACAGAACTTCAGCCTGCTCTTGTCCACCTCCTTTTGACTGCCGCGCCGAGAGATTGAATCGAAACTGGCGACCTCTACATGGCAAGTCTAGTGTGCTGACAGTTACACCACAGCATCATCATCATCGCAATCATCATCCACTGCTGCATGGATATTGTTTGAACCACTTTTTTGTGGGAATGTCGAGCTCACGCTTGTATTCCACAGAAGCATAAAACAAAAAATTTGGCATGAAATTGGCCCAAAGCGGTTTAATCCTGGTGTTGTCGAACAAAATGCATCATCGTAATGAAGAAATTTCTATTCCTGAAAAGACTGCACGGTGGGTAATTCATAGATTAATATGATCCCCAATGGGGCCGCACATGCCTGCTAATGTGATGAATGCATCTCAATTCACACTCGCGATAAATGCGTTTCAAATGAGAAATATGGAATTTTAATTTCTGCTGCCACTCTTAGATTTTTTTTTGCAGGTCATTTAAAAACCTGATGACAGTTTCACTGGGACAATCAGTCACATCACAAGTGTGCAGTCCAGTGAATGTGCTAACGTTGGCAATGTGGTCGGAACCATGCAACGAACGTTGGCCTCCCAACGTTGACTGGGAGTACAGTATATGGAAGTCCAGCAAAGTAGATTGCTTAACAATCGGTACGATTTCAAACGTCATCTCCTCGCTTGCGTGGGTTTTCTATGCAAGGTCACTGGATTCCTCTCACATGCAAAATACTCATTGGGGAATGAACCAAACATTGCTTTGAATGATTCCAATTTCAAGGCGCTTAAGTTTGTAAAAGTTATGAGGGATGGATAAGAATGCGGCCATTTTATAATCGGAAACGCTTCCTTAAAGATGAATGTTGGTATGTTGAATTGTTTAGGAGGGAGTGCAAGACTCACTGTTTTCTCATGGCTTTTACTTAAACATAATTTCATTGTTTTTGTATTTTATTTCAGTGTACAATGTTTAGGTGATATTACATTAAAAATAAATACGGTTTATGGCTCACCGTACGTAACCAACCGTGCTAATCGGAGGTGCGGGGGAAGGACAACAAACTAAACACGCAAAAAAAAAGAAACACTTCTAAAAAAATTAGTTTCCAATCTAGAAAAAAACAAATACGATTTTAGACAGAGGCTTGAAGGTCCCCAACCGAACCGAGACTCCCTGACAGCCTTCGGTAGGCAGAGAGTTCCACACTCCAGGTGATGCCACGGATGCTGAAGTTCCGATTGCCCATGGACTTTAAGAAGTTCAGAAATTCCCACCCCCGAGTTGAGCTCAGTGAGCTAAGAATCTCTTAATGCAAAGGGCGACTCGGCCGGCAAAAAACATTGTGATTGACTGCACTGCTAAATCTTCTTGGTTCTTTCGGTAAAGTCAAGTAGAATGGAAATAATAAAATAATAAAAATAAAACATAATAAAATCATTCTCACGACGTTTCGGCCACAACGCAAGCAGCCGTCCTCAGGTGGAGAACAGGTCCGTCGAGAAGACAGAACAGTTCTGTTCTCCACCTGAGGACGAAACGTCGTGAGAATTATTTTATTATGTTTTATTTTTATTATTTTATTATTCCCATTCTACGTGACTTTACCAAAAGAACCAAGAAGATGAATCCCTGCAGTCACGAAAGCTTTAAATCGAAATTTGCACTGCTTTAAGTAGACTTTTTTTGCAATAGTTCATTGGTATCCAGTACAAACAAATAGAGCTCTACCGAGACACCCAGGAAGGGAGCATATCAGCTATTCCACTACGACGTACATACAACGTGCAGTTAAAAGGAAAACAATAAAGGTCACACTATTATTTTGTATCACTTATTGAACGAATTAATGTAAATGAAACGTGTTTCGTGTTAAATTTGACCTCGGATCATTCCCACGCACTCTCCCCTGATGTCGTGTGCACACAGGTCACGTGGCACGGCAGAGACCAAGGCACACGAGCAGACCCCGTCAGCACCGACGTTGGCCCAAGTTGTGAGTTACCGGAGAGAAGTGCTCTTCATTGTAAGGCCAGGGGGACACTGGCGGCCCCTGATGGCTTTGAGTGCAGCCCCGTGACGTGCAGGCCCCTGACAATACACACGGTGGCTAAGAGATTTTAACTACCTCGCCTGGTATACAGGAGGTCGTGGGTTCGATTTGGACCCTGACGTCTGTCTGTATGTTTGCAGTTTGCGTGTCTCTCTCTCTCTCATCATCATCACGGTGGCTAGGAGATGTTAACTACCTCGCCTGGTATACAGGAGGTCGTGGGTTCGATCTGGACCCTGACGCCTGTCTGTATGTTTGCAGTTTGCGTGTCTCTCTCTCTCATCATCATCACGGTGGATAGGAGATGTTAACTACCTCGCCTGGTATACAGGAGGTCGTGGCTTCGGTCCCGACCCTGATGCCTGTATATTTGGAGTTTCCCTTTCTCTCTCCCCATGGTGGTGTGGATTTTTCTCCGGATCCTCCGCGTTTTCCCTTCACATTTAGAAACACGCGTTTAGAGTCTTTGACTGCTATACGTGTTCACACGATGCGCCACGTCCTTGAGCTATCATCTGTGGCTTCTGAAAAAGAGCAACGTAGCTCAGTGGGCCTTACCCAGGCAAAATAAAATTCTTTTGTTTCATACACAAATATGAAAACTGCCCTTTGCGTGCTGTCAAACCCCAATGGTTTCAAATGTGTGGTGGGCCCTCGCACACTGATGATGTCTTATAGGCCAACGCCCCCCCCCCCCCCTGAGAATCAGTGAAGAACACTACCTTATATAGAGAAAGAGAGAGCAGCGATTCAACTGCAAGGTTCTGCGTTCAACTCAAGAGGTCAACTCCCGGACCTCTCGCCGTGTATATTCAACAGCCTACGGCGAGGTTACGTTTCCGTAAGAAAAAAAAAACAAACTCTTTGAAGAAGGTAATGCATTCGCGTTGCGGACAAGAAAAGTGAGGACATTCAGGCGAAATGCGATGAGGCAATTGCAAAGATTTATTTTTTTGTAATATTTTGGCTCGGGGCTGCAGGACCACTGCTTTCAGAAGCCACGTGCATCATTGGCAGTGATGATGCACACGGCGTGCGAAGCGGAGACAGATTTTGTAGCAGCTGAACTACTGAAACGAAATAAATAAATGCATCCCTTTCATTTACATCACATGTGTGTAGTGCGACTTCTTTCGCACCGTACGTAGCCAACCGTGCTAATGCGAAGTGCGTGCGGGGGGTGGGGGGGGGGGTACAATACACTAAAGCACAGAACGCAGCTGTGTGACTTTCATACAAACATCCTGAACATGGGAAACGAGGGCAAAGGTGGTGTACGATGACGTATGTTGAACTTCTTTCGCACCTTACGCATGCGGACCGCGCGAAAATAAAAACGCACGCACATCCCACATCCCACATGAGCACAACCTCGAAAAGGGAAATTAAACAATTCCCAAAAATCGATGAAAACTAAATCCCTCCCGCCCCCCACGGCCGCCTTGCTCGATCCCACGGTGGGCAAAGAACGCTCCCGAGTGTGAGAAGAGAGAGAGAATTGAGAATCTCAGATCGTCTATTTATACTGCAGGAGGAGTCCGATGAGCTATGAAGCTCATCACAGAAAGCACGATATAGGCGTGCAAAGTACAAGAAAGGTAAACAGATCACCTGGCGACGGACATGGTAAAATCACTTTCACGAGCGTCGCTAAACTCGCCGGGGGTTTGTGTCCTTGTGCCGAGGGGGGCGGGGGGCGATCGAGGTGTGGGGGGCGGGGCTGGCATAACAACATGCAAAGTGAAGTCTCGCTCACAATAGAGGGTTTTTGGGGGGTTAGATCACGTAAATATAAACATTTGTCGTGAAACCCGCCACCAACCAACACAACCTAACCCCCAAAAAAACTGTACGATGGATCTAACCCCCCCCCCCCCCCCACAAAAAAACCTCACTCTAAACGCGTGGTGATGCTAGACGTGGAGGGAAAAACTGGAGGACCCGGACAAAAATCCAGGGGAGAGAGACACGCAAACTCCACATATACAGCAGCAAGCGTCAGGGGCAAGATCAAACCCACGACCTCCTGCATACCGGGCGAGGAAGATAACATCTCGCCACCATGGCACCCTCATCACGCGGAACAAGGCGCGATCCGACCCCGTTCGGTGTATCGACCGATGAGACCAGGGTTACAGAGGGCTCTACACGTACTCTTTGGTTCTTTCGGTAAAGTGGATCCTTGCAGTCACGAAAACTTCAAATCTAGAATTGCTCTACACGTGTAAGGGACACGCTGGGTGATGGATCACGCAGGGATACCACATCTTCCAGAACACCTCCGACTTGCACGCTTGGCTGTGTACGGTGCCAGAAATGCAGATGTGACGTCGCCTAATTTTGACTATAAAATAAACAGTAATATTATATTATTAATATATTATTTTATTATCTCCCTTCTACGTGACTTTACCGAAAGAACCAAGAATATTCATCCCTGCAGTCACGAAAGCTTTAAATCAAAAGTAATAGCAGACTCCGGTAAATCGAGTAGGTTTGAACCCAACATGGGGAACACAATTGAATTAAAATAAACTGCTCCACAATTGGAACAGTCGCCAACGTGTTTCTACTTTCCCTCCGTACACTTCTTATCATTCCGCCACTTCTTACAGAGCTCTCAACAACCCAGTCACTCCGCCCTCTTCCTCCACAAGTTTCACTCACCACCCACTGCCATTCCACCCCTTTGTATCTGCTCTTTCACTCGCTGAACTCCCGTGAGAACCGCCTTGACCCACAGCCACGTGGTGTGTCCGCAGGTCACACTCCCTACGTCACAACCACGTGGTGTGTCCGCAGGTCACACTCCCTACGTCACAGCCACGTGGTGTGTCCGCAGGTCACACTCCCTACGTCACAACCACGTGGTGTGTCCGCAGGTCACACTCCCTACGTCACAGCCACGTGGTGTGTCCGCAGGTCACACTCCCTACGTCACAGTCACGTGGTGTGTCCGCAGGTCACACTCCCTACGTCACAGTCACGTGGTGTGTCCGCAGGTCACACTCACTACGTCACAACCACGTG